ACAACAGGTCTTAAAAGACACACAACTAAACCCAAAACTTTCTAGCCTTTCTAGGTATAGATCTAGAAAAACAGTCGTTTATTTATACATAGTATAGATAAAGATCGTAAGTGTTTGCCTTGGTTTAGTTATTATCGACCGAAATAAAAAAGCGAAACCTACTGGTGTTGCTTAAATTTAAAGAACTTTGAAAACTTTTAAAGTTAATCAAAGTTCGTCACCGGGCGTGATCTTCTACCCAGATTCAACTTATTTCCGAGATGAATCGATATGCAAATGAACCGTGGATGAAGATAGCATCGTTCAAACTTAACTGAACTAGTTATCTCTCAATCAATATTTTTATTTTCATACAGGTTTATTAGAAATCATTATCAACTTTAATATTCATCATTTTATTATTAAATATTAGTCAAAAATGTCAATATTCTCTTTCCCGTTTTAGTCCCTCTTTTAGTATTAATCGCAGTCATTAACATTTAGTCCCAGGCGTAATTTTTCACCAACTCCGTCGCTTTGATAAACGACTTACGTCACAGATCCCATTAAATGTATAATATTCGAGACACGCGTCCTATTTTTCACTTCGTTTCGTTTTTCCTGCTCTTTCCCCGCCGCATTACTAACACGACTTACAACTCATTAAGCGTGTGCTCGTCGCATAGTCTAATCTTCAACGTCATTATTCTCCGATTCTAAACAGTTTTGATTCGGGAAAAGTCACGCACGCGAAGCCGGTTATTGTTCCTCGTTAAGAAAATATTTAATCGTCGTTAAAGCTTCTGAAACAGGAACGCCTGTGGTTTAGATCTCGTATATGGCCAGCGGAAATGCAGATATCGAGCGGAAATACTGAATACATCAAAGTTAGAATTTACATAGCAAAGGGGGAGAGAGGTCAACGTTATGTGTCCACTAAAGATCTCAATTTAATACTGTAGTAATACAAAATTGGTGTATTAACCTAAATAAAATATATGTAGATGTTTAATAAAATAATTAACAAAATTTAATTTTTAATAAGCAATAAGATAACGATAGTTAGGACATCTATTGGGGAAAGGTTAAACTCGCAACTAAATCTTTGCGTAAAACGCCGATAGATGGCTAAATGTGCAATCGATTTAAAAATAAATCCAAATTTAAAAAAACTTTAAAGTTTTATCACTTTACACGAAATTGTTATCAATTTAATCCGTCTTGAGAGTGAACGACAACACATCGAAACCACTTAGTTCTCACACCTTTCCCGTTGGAAACGACGGCGGGTAACTTTGGATAAATTTGATTGAGTGGTTTAGTTGGGACGCGCGTCGAAATTCGATTGAAAAGTTTGGCAAGAGAGGAGAAGGGGTTGGTTTATTTCGAAACTCCCGAGGGCAGACGCTAAAACGCATAAAACTCGGTAACTTTTTACAATGGAGGCGCGCGGTCCACCTCCAACGGCCGTAAAATGCAAAATTACGACATGCTAGATGCACGCCACCGTCATAAAGGGGACATAAAATCATAATTGTAATGGCGAAGTGGGTTTGCTGAACCGCTTACAGTCCAATCAATAGCTCTTCGAAAAACGCGCCCTCGAGAGCTGCATGGGAAACGGTTGTAAATGTGAAAGAAAGGGTAGATAAGAAGATAATCCGTTTTTGTTTTTTTTGTTTTTTTTTTTTTGTTATTTATGTAGTGGTAGCTAAATAAAAACGGCATTATTTTAATCAAACACGATTAAATGCTCGAGTTTTAGGGTCTCACTGACCGTTTGACAAATTACCCAAGTGAGGAAAATTGCGTGACCACAAGTTTCCACGTGTGTGGTCGTGAGATAGAAAAGTTTGAAAATTTTAAAAATACAAAGCTTATTTAAGCTCTGTTAACATTTAACCTTTAATTTCTGTTGATATTTTTAACACGTTTTTAACTTTAAATTGATATACATAAAACCTATCCACTAAAAATAAATATGGAATGGTATATGTAAATTTATTTTTGACATTTTGAGGTTGAATAAGTTGATGATTTATATCTCAAATTATAGCTTAACCCATCTATTTTCAGACAAACCATAACAACGTGGAGAATAATAATCGAATTTACTCGAAAAAAAATTTAAAGCAAATAGTTCATATTTGACATTTTGAGGTTAGTTTGGAATTTCTTTTTTATGTATTTCCATAATAAACCGACCGATTTATACCGCAAGGAAAAAGCAATAGCGAGTTTTACAGCTTTAATCTAACGTAAAAATAACATTTTTATTCACAAATATAAAGTTGGAACGATTTAAATTGTTTCTTTGACATTTTGAGGTTAGTCTAAAATTAAAAAATCGTATCATTTTATTGATGGTTTATATCTTAACCTTTCAATACACGCATTAAATCAAAGACGCAACTAAAAGTATAACTAACTACTAACCTAGAACTAAAAACATTCGGGTTTGGCCGTGAGTCTTTTAAGACGGCTAAATCCGAATCATTCTAGATATAGGTATAGTGTTATTTCTATTGATAGTGTTAGTACAAGTTTTAGTTGTTATTGAGCGATAGATTGTTGTATACCTTTATTGAACTAAAAATTCTAGGTCTAGTGTTAGTTCTACTTTTCGTTCAATAAAAATATACCACAATCTAACGCTGAATAAGAATTAAAACTAGAACTACCACTAGACCTAGATCTAGAAACATTCGGATTTAGCGGCACGTCTTTCAAGACGACTAAACCCGAATGATTCTAGTTCTAGATCTTGTGTTAGTTCTAGTGATAGTGCTACTGTAAAACTAGAACTAACACTAGACCTAGAAACATTAGGGACTTTCTAGTTCTAGGTCTAGTGTTAGTGCTAGTTTTAATTGCTATTCATCGCTAAATTGTTGTATATTTTTGTTGAACTAAAAGTACAATTAATACTAAACCTAGAATTAGAAACATTCGGGTTTAGACGTTTTAAAAGACGCACGGCTAAACCCGGAACTTTCTAGTTCTAGGTCTATCTAGTGTTAGTTCTAGTTTTAGTTCAATAAAAATATGCAGCACAGTGATATTTTATGCTAACTAGCGCTACCTACCAGCTACGATTTAGCTGCACGTCTCTCAAGACGACTAAAACTGAATGATTCTAGTTCTCGGTCTTGTGTGAGTTCTACATTTCATTCAATAAAAACATGCAACAATCTAACGTTGAATAACAATTAAATATGGAACTAACACTAGACCTAGATCTAGAATCATTCGGATTTAGCCGCACGTCTTTCAAGACGGCTAGACCCGAATGATTCTAGTTCTAGGTCTTGTGTTAGTTCTAGTGATAGTGCTAGTGCAAAACTAGAACTAACACTAGACCTAGAACTTTCATTCGGGTTTAGCCGCACGTCTTTCAAGACGGCTAAACCCGAATGATTCTAGTTCTTGATCTTGAGTTAATTCTAGTGATAGTACTAGTGTAAAACTAGAATTAACAGTAAACCTAGAACTAGAAACATTCTGGACCTTTTAGTTCTAGGTCTAGTGTTAGTTCTAGTTTTAATTGCTATTCATCATTAAATTGTTGCATATTTTTGTTGAACTAAAAGTATAACTAATACTAAACCTAGAACTAGAAACATTCGGGTTTAGCCGTTTTAAGAGACACTCGGCTAAACCTGAAAATTTCTAATATGTTACCTGTGTTGTCAATTTATAGAAAACCTAGTTCAGTTGCTACATTAATTTCATATGATTCAAATCATCCCTTATCTCATTAATTAGCGGAGCTTCAGATATTTTATGGAACGAATTTTTAATTATCCATTACCATTCATAGAGAATAAGATTGATGAATTTAACTATATCTGTGATCTAGCAAAAAATGATTATTTTCCTATAAAAGTAATTAATAATTTAATTAATAAAATTAGAATAAAACATTATTTTTCAAAGATTATGAAATTATAAACCCATTCCTTTCAGAAATTTAGATTTTTTCAGAAATATAATGTTAATCTTGCCTTTTCTACTAATACAATGTTAATAAGGGTACTATCTAATTATCATTTTAATGATTATAACATTAATAAAGAGAGTGGTGTCTATCAAATTAACTGCTCTGAATGTAGTCTGACTGGCCAAAAATTGGAAAATAGAATAATGGAACATAAAAATAAAACCAGTTCTAATGTTTTTAAACATAAAATTGAAACAGGACACGAGATTGATTTTGAGAATGTAAAATTGTTGCGTAGATGTAATACAGGTTTTAAATTAGATTTCTTCGAAGCTCTAGAAATTAACAAATATACTAAAAACAAAAAATATGAACTTCTCAATGACCAGTTGGATATTAAATTTACGCCTTTGTTTAGTTACCTAAGTAAAATATAAAATTCTTTTGGTTTTCTGTCTGTTAAAAAGGTTATTTATGTCTGTTAAATTTTCTTGCGAAACCTGTTTGTTTTATAACAGAGATCTTATTATAATGCAGTTTAGATCTTGCTTCGTCCAATGTATGTTCGGTTTTGGAGAGTTTTCATTTTTATAGTGTGTGTAAATTTTGATACATTATAAATTATATTTTCTTAAATGTTTAATCTTGTATATCGTCTCTCCTTTTTAATTGTTTATTATTTTTTATTTTTGTATCGGATAACTTATTTAAGGAATGTTTGTAATTGTGATTTCTTGATCATGAAGATTCGGCTGATGATGAGCTAATAAATTAGGTTGAAACCGGTACCGAGAAATTTAATAAATATAGCAAGAAAGAAGTTTTATCGAACATCGTATTGTTTCTTTTAAATTATGAAAATCTCTCCCAATTCTTGGTCTAGTTTTAAACTAAAACTAGTGTAACAATTTTTAAACAATCTATTCTTAGATAGAAACTTTATTTTTGTTTTTTAACATTGTTTTTTAATGCGGTTTTTATACAAGGTTAACATAAACACCCAAAAAAAATATTTTTCATGTTATTTACCCAATTTATTGATATATAAATCCGAAACACCCGAATAAAAATTATTAGTTCTTCTAAAACAATCAAAATGACTGTAAGTAATTTTACGATACTCTTTATTTTGCTACTTTATTAGTATTTTAGATTAATGGTGCACTATTTTTATACACTCCTGTCTGGGGGTCAAAATTTAAAATACGCGGGATCCCAGATAAGGATGGTACAAATTTTACAATTAACTTAACGCACCATGTATCTAACCAACACATATTACACCTAAATTTTTATTACACCAGAAATTACATAGTTTTTGATACTATGGATAAAGACAATAAATGGGAAAGGCAAGAACGTACTAGAGATAATCCTGTTCGAGCAGGATACGAATTTGAAGCAGAAATTACTTGTAACAGAGACGAGTATATTGTATGAATATTAAGTTAAAGTAGATAAAGTGGATAAATATTTTAAATATTTTTTAGTTGAAGATTAATGGAACTTGGATTGAGAAATTTAAACACAGACATAATTATTTACATGCAGATCGTTTAACAATTGCTAATAATATAACTTTATTGAGTGTTAATCTGTAATTATTCCAGAACCATGTAGCACAGTGTCAAAATAAAATATTCAATTCTAATATGCTTATTGAAAATCAACTCAAATCCAATTTGTTATTAGTTAAAGTTAAGACAAGAATCTTATGAATAATATATTCTCGTTATTCATATAGATTAAGAAAAGTTTTACTTAATATCTTTTATAGTTATGATCCATTGAGGTTAATACTCAACATGATGTTGCCCACTGTAGCAAACATACAGGCGCCGGGGTCGTAGTTCAATTCCATTGGGACGTCGTGTCGGGTCTATAGTCCGGTCGTGTCTACTAATTTCTTCTATCTTTCTCCGACATCCAAGTTTATTGTTTCATGAAGCGTTCCTCTTCAACCCGGGTCCACCTTTGACCTCAATTATTCAACACCGTTCTGAAGAGGCGCCCGTGTTCCTACCTCTTTTCGTGTAACAGATCGTGGCGTTTTAAACAAATCGAAAGAATAAAAAAAAATAAAATTCTTTTCTCGCCTTCGGGTGGCACCAGTGCGCGTCGTCGCTCTCCCCTCGCTACGGTTATTACTGCTGAGTTTGACACATGGTGTGTCGAAGGGTGAAGACGTTAAAAAATGACTCTAGCAACGTGTTTCATTAGGTTTTCGTTTTTTTTTTTGTTGAATTTTTTTTGCTGTTTGAGTAGGGTTACAAGTATTAAACTACATGTATTTTTAAATAGACAAGAAACTAATATCCGGTGAGTCGAGCGAGCGTCGCGACGCCGAAAGTCTCGGTAATTTAGATTAATGGGGAGCGTGTTGCGGGACATCAAAGTGCGAAAACGTCGGGGCGACTTTACTATTTCCCGATAAACACGGGTTGTGAAGGTTGTGAGAGTTTATGTTCACTGCTCGGGGTTCCCGTAAAGTTGACAAATTTCACGGCCATGTGACAAACTGCACGGATAGTAAACGATAAATTTTCGTGGACTTGTTTCAAAACAAGATGCGAACAAAACTGACTGAGATCAGTTGGTTTTCTTCCAGCAAAAACATACGACTTATAATGTCTTAAACATGTCATAACTTTCGAGGATACGTGTAGTACATACAGTTTATAATGTACCAAAATAGTTTGATATTATGTCTACAGGATTCATTTATATTATAAATATATGAAGGAAACAATAAAAACCGTTAAACAAGCTATAAAAAAGTAAGGTTGATTAAAACTTTTTGAGGGATTTTTTCGGGTCGCATGCTTATCATTTTTCGTTGTGGCACTTTTTCGGGTTCGTTTGCGTGCGGAGTGGGTAACTCATCAATTATACCTTGATATTGTGTGCGTAAACGTATTAAAATTAGCCAGAGTGGTATGTACAAACGTTATCTTCTTTGCGATGATAAGACACGCGAAACACCGCCGCGGGATGATGAATCGCGCTTTTGTTTTTTATTACCAATCAACAGCAGCGGTTGGAAGCGGAGCGCTTAAGGTGTTAATGGCAATAGTATTGTGGTCGCTAAAAAAATGCAATATATATATATATATATATAGTGGGCAGCTCTAATGGCAACAACCACATTCGCGCATAGACCGCATGCCTCGGGCCAATAAATTCTTGCGCACGTCGGACGTTAGCGCTTTAACAACTGTTCCAGTACGATTAACTGCATCACCATACAATGGGAGAGCTTCGCTCCCAGTGAATTGTTTATGATTATTACAAAGGAGCTGTGGCAATTGTGCGAAACGCGTTTATTTTGTTACTAAGTAATAATAACCATCTTCGAACAATTTAATTTTGATAAAATTCGTTCAATCACATCATCACCCCTTTTGCTTTCGCCTCTCCCCCGTCAAAACAAGCTAATGAATAAATTAAGCCAGGGCAGCTGTACTGTCTCCCAAAAGAGGTATATTTCACGCTTACGCGTAAAGGGGTTGAATGGGAGGAGATAAGAGATGTGATACAAAACGGTAATTCTATACATTTAAATTGGGATGTTACATAGAAGAGATGAAAGGGTTGAACGCCACAAAGGTATTGTTTTATTAAGGGGGTCAACTAGTAGGGGTCAAAACAACTACTCTCGATTATAATTATCATTGCTCTTTGGTACAGTTTCTATGGTCTTTATGGGCTATTTAACATCTATGGGAGCATGAATCGGGCGACTTTCTACCAAGCTGCCGCCGACCTTTGTCCGGAATTGGGTCGGTCCAGATCTGTTCGTCGATATCGATCGAGCCCGAACAATGATGTTTACCAGATGCCTGTAGGGCAGTCATCTAATTAGAAAACGCATTGTGTCCGCTGAGAGATTGAACGTCCCATTTCAACGATTAGAATATTTAAATCGATTTTCAATAAGAATACAAAAGATATTACGATTAAATATTTTATTTTGACACTTGTACTGAACACGGCTCTGGAGTAATTACATTCGGAACTACTTCCAACAAAACAATATTAGCAACAATTGTTAAACGATCTGCATGTAAATAATTATGTCTGTGTTTAAATTTATGAGTCCACGTCCCATTAATCGTCAACTAGAAATTAATTAAATTATTTATCTACTTTATCTGGTTTAATTTAATATTCTTACAATATACTCTTCTTTGTTACATGTAATTTCTGCTTCAAATTCTATTCCTGGCCGAACAGGACTATCTCCAGCGCGTTCTTGCCTTTCCCATTTATTATTTATATCCATAGTATCAAAAATGATGAAATTTTTGGTATAATGAAAATTTAGGTGAAATATGTGTTGATTAGATACATGATGTATTAGGTTAATTCCTATATTCGTACCATCTTTATCCGGAATCCCGCGTACTTTAAATTTTGACCCCCAGATAGGAGTGTATAAAAATTGAGAACTATTATTCTAAAATAATAATAAAATAGTAAAAATAGAGAGTAGCGTAAAATTACTTACAGTCATTTTGATTATTTTAAAAGAACTAATTTTTATTCGGTTGTTTTGGATTTATATATCAATAAATTCGGTTAATAACAGGAAGAATATTTCCTTTTTGGGTGTTTATATTAACCTCGTATAAAAACCGCAATACAAAATAATGTTAAAAAACAAAAATTAAGTTTTTATCTAAGAATAGATTGTTTAAAAATGTTACGCAGTTTTAGTTCAATAAAAATATACAATAATCTAACGCTGAATAAGAACTAAAACTAGAGCTAGCACTAGAACTAGAAACATTCGGGTTTAGCTGTAACAATAATAATAATAATGTTTATTGCCTCAAAAACAAATATTTCCATAAATATATACATTCATAACAAATATAGACATCAAGACAAACGGATCAATTTATCGCAATAAGCGATATCTTCCAAGAGACCCAACTGATAATAGTGTATGTAATTTAATGTATATTTAATAATGTATATGTAATTTTAAATGAATAATTATGGCTACCAAAAAAGTAATACTAAATGATGTGCTAATAAAACTGAGCGAATGAGCATATTTGAATTATGTAATAAATCGACAGTCAGTTACTACAAGCAAGGAAATGCACACAAAGATAGATGAAAGGCAGACTAGAGAAGAAAACAAACACGTATAGCTCAAGAAGAAGATAGTTGAAGAAATAGCAGATGGCGCCTCTAGGCATTTTTAAAACTAATTAAACTAGCTGCATTGCGAACAACGGCAGGCAAATCGTTCCATAACGCAATCGACTGCATTGCAAAAGATCTGTGGTAGATTTCAGTACCATGGACTGGAAACATGAGTGTAGAGTTCGACATTGATGGAGTGGGCAAGTCAAGTGATGCTAAAAAGTTAAAGGCGTCAGACAAATAAGCAGGAGTGCGGGTATGGACAATTTTGTATAACATAGTAAGCATACGAAATGATCTACGACTCTGGAGTCAAGTCATCATCTGCAGGTTGTTACGATATAGAGTAATGTGCTGAAACTTTCCTAAATCAAAAATGTACCGTAGACAATTGTCTTTCCAATTTACCCCGAAGGGCTGCGGACAGATCGGGATACAAAGATTGCGATGTACAACAGGAGGAAGGTAGCAGCGAAGTTTTTTCAAAGTATGGAAACACAAGTAAACCCTCTTACAGACTCTCTGAACTTGTGGCCGCCAAGACATCGCCGAATCCATTACCACACCAAGATTTTTGACCGTATTAGAAAACGGAATAACGGTGACGACAAGTCTCAGTTGAAGGGTAGTTAAGGAATTAAATTGTACCAGCCAGGGGCGAATGCCAAATGCAATGGCTTGCGTTTTACCTGGATTCAGGTTAAGTCGATGACGTCTAGACCAGTCAAGTGCGCTAGAGAGATCGTTGTTAAGATGCATCAAAGCATCTGGGAGGTTGTTAACAGTTGACGAAATATAAAGTAGAAGGTCATCTGCATACAAATGATAGTTACAAGAGATACCATCACTAATACTATTTATGAAAATTGAGAAGAGCAAAGGACCCGCACACTACCCTGGGGAACTCTACATTTGATGTCAACAGGAGGAGAGAGTACAGATTTCACGCGGACATGTAAAGACCGATAGGAAAGGTAGGGTTGGAACCAAGATACACAAGAAGGGGGTAAAACCAATAGCAGAAAGCGTGCCCAGTAGTAGTGTGGTAAGTATCGTCTTTCAAGACGGCTAAACCCGAACGATTCTAGTTCTAGGTCTTGTGTTAGTTCAAGTGATAGTGCTAGTGTAAAACTAGAACTAACACTAGACCTAGAACCAGAAACATTCGGATTTAGCCGTGCGTCTCTTAGGACGGCCTTTTAGAAGGACGTCACTTTTTTCCAAGCAAAACTTTTCCTTTGCAAAACTACCCAATGCCTGTACTATTAAGTTATGTTGCATTTTATGTGAGACAGTATAAGTGCATAGTAGTTTCGTAACTATGGTTACAGCATTCATATATTGCGAGTTATATGAAATTTCCGGTATTTAAATCGCAAGTTTAATAACAAAATTCTACACTTTGGGTATGCTTTGATATACCATACTGTTCAGCGGGAAATAAAAAGATCTAAAATTGTGAATTAATTTTTTTTTCATTTGCTATTTACAAATTGCTTTCTCGAAGAAGTTTCGACCAGCTATACATAACCTCAACAATCATGACTTATCACCATGGCTACATTGAAGATTATCAGCCATGTTAGTTATGATCCTAATTACAAGCGGTAACTCTTTCCTTTAAAATATATATATTTCTAAATTTCTTTTACAAACTGTTAACATTTACTGCCAACACTAAATATAAACAAAGAAGTTTCTTTTCATCTTTTAAATTGGTTTACAACATCGAAAGTGCCGCTACAATAAGTATACGCTACCTAAACCCGTTTAACGAAGTTAAATAAAACAATAAAAGTTAAATTAGTTAAAAGCCTCTTTTTAAAGAATCACACGTCTCGCGTTAAAACGAACGCGGTTCTATATTTAAATTAAATTTAAATTTATCATTGGTGACTGCCAATATGCGATCAGTTCAGTTTTGAATTTCCATTTCAATTATCTCTGCGGGATTGACTAGGGAATTAATTTCATTCGCGGGGGGTTGATAAATTGAAAATAACAAATTATGTGTTATTACGAATTTAGAGTGACATTGTGTCAGTTTTTTTTTGGTTTTTATTGGTACCGTTAAAACGGTCGGAGACAAATTAAGATTAATTAATTGCCTTGGTAAGACGAAGTGAGTAGCAAAAAAATAAACGGATTCCCGACTTTAAAGCGGTGTAGCCATAAATTATATTAATTATCAAAGTCGGCAGCAATTTTTCTCTTTTCTCTCCCTCGAAGGGAGTTCCACAATTAATAGGTTGACTTTTTTTTTACCTTGTTTTTATGTTTCTTACTCATCAGGACTTTGTCTCTGCGTATTTTGATCCCTTTTTGTCTTTGTATTTCACGGACCATTTGATCAATTCAGTGTTTTATGATTTATTTTATTATCCATTATTTTCAGACTTAATTAATAGGACAATGGAAGGGTTTATTCTTTTGTCTTCGGCACATTTATGTTTATCATTATTATTTCCCGGTGTCATAAATAAGCGGGTATGCAATTTCGTTCGTTCACAAGAGAGGTCCGTACGCGCAGCAAAGCTTTTATACGACTGGCATAAATTTCAAGAGAAGAAAACTTACGATAGCCGACCGTTCACACGGGGTTCACAGTTTAAAGAGAAGATTCCACGATTCCACGCCGGTTAGAGTCGAGAAGGTAACGCGATATGTAAATCTTAATTACAATCCCGCGTACGCGAAGCGTGAACTTTACTGATGACGACAATGTTAAAAACGGCCGGGAATGGTCAATTAGGTTTCAAAGACGAAAAACTCTCTGTTCGTAGAAACCACGACGACGACGATTTCATCATTTGCATATAAATTAAAACATCAAAACAATTTCCTCTTTCAACTTTCTTTTGAAGACTCAAGAAATCTTTGCGTACACAATTTTTAAACCATCACCATCGCCGTCGTCCTCGGAACCAATTTAACACGAGAAACGCACCGTTACTCGGAGATACCTCGATCGACCGCGAGCACGTCAATTGCTGCAATTAGTTTTGATTGATTAGGCTTAAATTATACGTTACGGACCGATTCATTACATAAACGCACGAGTAATAACCACCATATTCTCTCTCTTGCTATGTGTACAGTGGATGCCAAATTAAGAAACCTCTTTCCATATAGACCACATGTTTTATTACTAGTTATGAAATTAACTTTAATAAGTAGGTAATAAAAATAATTATTTCAAAGACCAGATTTAGCTTATATAAGCTAGCACTACTTCTGAAATGGCTCCTTTCAGCTGAGAGAGTTTTGAACCAACTACCAAAAAGGTGCTGATTCAAAAATGCTACAGAACTGTACTTCAAAAATTTCAGAACATCACAAGTGAATGAAGATTTTATACTTGCTTGTAAGACTCCAAAATAATTAAGAATTTAAAAACTAAGTAAAAACTCAAAGTGAGATTATTTCTTATATCACGAACAATACTTGAGGCAGCCGTGAGTTGCCAGAAATAATTTCATAAATATATTAATAACATAAGCTGCCCATGTATTGGTTGTATACTTGGAGCAACCAACGTCCAGTTCAAGTGAGTTCTCACGTGCAATATGCTATTTATCAGGATTCACAAAATCCTGGTGTTTCTGATACTGGCCAAATTTTAGACTGCAAAAAAGTGTGAAATTACACTGGCCAAAGTCTTCTACCAGCAGATTTTAGTCTTTCGCAAGCAGTGTGGTCTTGGGCTCTGTTTGTGATACTTGGGGCTTTTCAAAATAAACTTGTTGATTGCAATGTAGATACTTTGATTAGTATTTTGTAAAAATTGGATAAGAATTACAGAGGGTTAAGTATAACGTCATCACTTGGAAGGTTATATGCAAGAGTCCTCAAAACTAGGATAGAAAGGGAAATTAAGGAAGAAGAGGAACAAAGTGGTTTCGAACCTGGAAGAGCTTGCGTGGATAATTTATTCACGTTTAGACACCTAGTTGAGAAGAAGGTGTCAAAAGGAAGGGAAATACTTGTTGCATAGATAGATCTGAGGAAAGCGTTCGATATGATCCCGCTTCAGAAATTATGGATTGCCCTGACAGATGTAGGCATCAATAGACGCGGCAGAGGTTCAGGTAGGAAAACTCACAACTGATGCTTCTCTCCTACAAAAGGTTGCAAACAGGGATGCTGTCTCTCTCCTACAATATTCAAGATCTATATCCACTCAACCCTAAAACATTGGAAAAGGTAATGTAACTCGATGGCAATACGGGTAGTTTTTACAGAAGACGAAGAGGATATGAGGTATATGTTAAATACCTCTTGGTATAAGAAGAAGAAGAAGAAGAATACAATAAATGGGGCTTGGAAATGAACAAAGATAAGATCCAATATATGGTAATTGGAGGAACGGGAAAGGACAAACAATTGGAGACCCGCATAATAAAACATGTAGACCAGTACGAATACCTTGGGGTAGTTATAAACGAAGACAGAAAGGACAATAAAGATGTAATGAGGAAGGTTGGTAGAGTAAAAAAGCGATAAAGGCAATACATTCGATTCTGTGGAATAACAACCTAACGATACAAACGAAGAAAAATATTTTTAGGGCCATTATAGAAACATTAATGACTGCTAGCAGCAGAGATGTTATTTCGGAAAAGATGCTACGGCATAACCACGCTGGACCGAGTTGAAAATGAGGAAAAAAGAAGATCTGATGGCACAAAACTCAATAATAGACACTATAGATGAAAAGCAACTAAAATGATATGGACATCTACGCCGAATGAGTAAAGAGAGAATCAAACTTAAAGTTTGGACCTGGGTGCTAGCAGAAGGAAACAAAAGAGGTAGGCCTAGGAAAAAAAGGATCCAGGATATCAATATAGAGATGAAGAGGAGAGGACTGGGTGAAAATGATTCGAATGATAAGGACTGCTGGCGGTTGGGATGCGAGAAGCGGCAATAAAGAAAGCTGCAAATACTCGCCAAATAGAATAGAATAGAGTAGGATAAGAATTTTCAATGAAATCGATTTTTTAGGAATTTTTAAAATTAATCTAAAAAGCGGCAGGAATTGCTAAAACAACTTCAATAATCTATATCTTAAGAATCAAGAGTAATTTTTTAAAACAAACTTGTCCTTGCAAAGTTGATACTTTAATTGGTAATTGGCCAAAATTTGATCAACATTTTCCAAGAAATTGATTTTTCGCGAATTTTTTAAAATTAATCTAAAAGGCGGCAGAAATTGCTAAATCAACCTCAATGATCTATATCTCAAGAACCAACAGTGATTGTAGTAGTTTAGTAGGTGCTTTGATTAGCAATTGGCCAAAATTTCGTAGAAATTTTCCAAGAAATTGATTTTTCGCGAATTTTTAAAATTAATCCAAAAACCAGCAGACATTTCAAAATCAACTTCAATGTTCTATATCTCAAGAACCAAGAATGATTTTTCAAAACCAACTTGTCCATTGCGAAGTAGATGCTTTAATTAGCAATTGGCCAAAATTTTGCAGAAATTTTCTAAGAAATCGATTTTTCGCCAATGTTTAAAATTAATCCAAAAAGCAACAAAAATTGTAAAATTAACTTCAATAATCTATATCTCAAGAACCAATAGTGATTTCTCAAAACAAGCTTGTCTATTGCAAAACAGATGCTTTAATTAGTAATTGGTCAAAATTTGACAAACATTTTTCAAGAAATCGATTTTTCAGGAATTTTTGAAATTAATCCAAAAATGCGATAAAAATTCCTAATTAACTTTAATAATTTATATCTCAAGAACTAGATATGATTTTTCAAAGCAGACCTGTTTATTGTAAAGTCGATACTTTAATTACTAATTAATGAAAATTTTATAAAAATTTTCCAAGAAATCTGCTTAAAATCAAAAACTCATCATTTTACTTTGAAATGTACCAACAAAAAACATTATTAATCTGATTTAACACTTACCTTGCAAAAAAAGCAGCCGCTGCAGAAGCTTGTGCTGTACTCCCAGGTAACCCATTAACAGTAAACATATACTTCGTTTCAGAGTAAACACCGAAAACACTTCCACTAACACCTACAGGTTCTTGTATCAACCCTGCACCGGTAACATAACAGCCTTCGGCGGTTTGATAACTATGATGGTGAGAGGAAGAGCGTTGTTGGAATCCAGCCGTTTTACCATTAATATTTGAATTTTTGGTCCCGTGTCTATCTTTCTTCTGGTCTTGATGGTTCTTGGTTTTAATTGGAATGCCGGAAGCACCTCTAGATACCACCGTTGTTTTAACATCTTTCGCATCCATGATTGCCACTTGTTGTTGGAGGAACGCGTGAAGTTTGTTTGTTTCTTCCGGCGCCGTCGCGGCAACGAGCACGTGGTGAGCGGAGCCGCTTGTTTTTCTACGTTCGCTCCTGCTTTCTCTGCCCGAGTTCCTGCAGGCGTCCGAAGCAGGCGAGGTTAGGGCTGACACTGAGGGCCTTCCGTGCTTCGAATGGCGCCCACCACCCGCTGCTCCTGATGACTCCCACTCCGTGCCTCTTCGGCTTTCCTGCTGCTGCTGTTGCTGGTGGTGGTGATGATGATATGCTGCCTGAAAGACTTGATTCATATTTCTTTCAGATGGTAAGACGTATTCTGAAGACCTCACCATTTGCATGTCGATCTAAAAACAAAAAAAAATTAATTTGGAAATGAAACAATTTTCTTTTATTTATTTTTTTTCTCATTGATTCCTCCATCAATCACTCTTAGTGTCATTCATTTGGAAGAAGTCCCCCGGATCATTCATTCAGTTGTGTCTCGCTGTTTCCCTGCTAGATGTCGTATTAAAGACTTAACCCAGGGGCAGGGATTTTCTACGCTGGACGTTGAAATATAAACCTATCAATCAGAGACATCAATCGCATCGTTATCGTTCGGAATAATACAGCAAATGACGCGGCATTATAATGTGCAGTCATAGAGAAGGTGATAAAATGCTCATTAGAGGGATGGTATGTATGTATGATCGATTCGTTAAGTACGCAATCATCGTTCTGATTTTGGGCTGGTTGTTAACGGTTTGCCTCCGTTGAAAGAATAGACAAATTTCCGCGTAAACAGATGAATCAGCGCCGTTAACGAGGCGTCGAAAGGGCGGGTTTTACTGGGTGGTCCTGAAAAGTGACCATTAACAGCCTGCGGGATAAATCACCGTAATTGAATCAAAAGCCGACATTGGGAAAAACGTTGGAAAACGTTGTACGATTAAAAGTGGGGGTGAAACGACGGCGGAAGAATGAAATGGTCGGAGGAAACGGAAGATGGTGACAAATGTAGCTTTTTCAGGGGTATATAGAAAGGAAAACAGCAGGAAGCGAAAGTTGGTGAGAAAAAAATTCGTTGTTTATGGAGGATACGGAAAGTTTGACCATGTTTCATCGTTCGAAATTAATGTTGTGGTGAGCAAAAAAAAAACAAAAAATATAAATAACATGTGTCTACGAGCGAATATCATCCTTGACGACCTGCTAAATGCAGAAAATCTATATTGAGGCCGAATCTTATCGTAAAACTCCTCGATTCGAGGTCGTTTTCAAGAAAAGAAATTAAACGCAGGAAAACGGGCGAGTCACCGGCTCTCGGTCGATAACCAATATCTCTTCAACTCTCGGTTTCAATTATCTATACGTCGCGGCAACAAAAAGATTGCAGATGAACCCCCTTCGTCCTTCTCATTGCACGCCACCATCGTCCTTCCTGACTTGCACATTCCCAGCGTATAATCAAACGTAAACTTAACAGCTTCCACAGTCGAAAAAGCTCAAGCGTAAAGCTCCAAGCTTTTCCTTTATTGTCCTTTCTTTTTCAAAAGAATTCCGGATCGTGCATCATTGAATTTTTAATATACAGAACTAGTATAAAGTGTTCATGAACTCAACTTAATCCCGAACAAAAATTGTTATCTTCAAGATTTTAATTATGTTTTGTGATTAAATAGTTTATAAATCATCTGTTTTACGTTAGGGAATGTTTAGTATCTCCGAAGGGTCCCCTCCTATGGATGGTAACCTGATAAATATTTCAATCTCTTTGCAGGAAGTTGAGAGAAATCGAATCAGTCGCTCTAAATGGGCCCGTAGGCACAGGGAACAAGTGCCGAAGACCACAACCGACCCCAATACAACTGCCCGTGCTGATTGATACATTTTCGTTCCCCCGAGGGGGTTTCAACGACGCTAAGTTGAGATCCCCAGAGAGTCTGATTACGAGATAGCGCAAAACTATGACGCCCTCTACTTCATACTCGAAAAGTTTAAAAGTCGAGGGATAAAAACTTGGGTCAGTTGAGATCTGGCTGAAAGCGGCGGGTAACATATAAATATATATATACCGAAGGATTGACAGGCCATAAAAACATGTCACCCTTGTTAGGGGTCGGGGTTGGGCTATACATGAATATTGGATTATGCAAAGCGTGCCCCGGAGCGGGTCGCGGGTTCTCCCTTTTTTGTCCCTTGCTTAACCTCTCCCCGCTTCGGTAGCCCATCAATTTTCGCGGAATTCCAAAACAACGGTAGCATTATCATAATGAGGGTAAGTGCGAACGGTTTCCCCGCGGCTCTTTTTCGACTACCGATCGATGGTTCCCTCATTTAAAGTTGCATCAATCGACAAAGATTGGAGATTAAGGGGTCGGAAGCGTTATAATTTGTTGGAGAGGGGGTGGGCAACCTCCCCCAAACCCAACGGGCCTCCGGATTGCGACAGATACGAGCGGGATTCTTCAGCCCCTCCCCGGATTTTACACCGCAAAACCGAGGGGGCGACACTTGACTCACTTAGGCGCTTCCGGTAAATCAGGGCCACGAAATTCTGATGTATCTCTTTGCATCACAAAATCCAAAAAATTTCATAGACCATAAACTCAGGGTATTAAACCGTTTAAAACCGCTTTATCTCTTAAATAAAGTTCGGACCGTTTCGACCTTAGAGGTGGAGTTTTTTTTTTACACTTTTATGAGGCGGGGGAATGCCTCGTGAAAATTAAGTACGTATACAGTGTAAGCTTGGTTTATGGCGATGCCATTAAAATGCTACTGTTAAAAAAAAGCGACAGGACGACAAAAACAACATCGTAAATGGGGTACCGCCCTTTACTTTTTTTTTATTTTTCATGAGGGAGATGTACTAAAATCATCTAGATAAGAATTTTTATTATGTATATGTCAAACCAATGTAACAATCCTTTTTTAACAAAAACGCGTTTTAATTTTTTTCGTTTTATTTAATCTACACTTTTTTCATCAATTTTATTTCTCTCTATCTAGTCTCTTTCTAGACTTCACAGTTTGTTACCAGATTCCTTCCTCTTTGCCCAATCTCTTTTGATCACACTTTCTTCTACTACTAATCTAGTTCTTGGTTTTGCAGCCTCCACTCAATGTCTTTCTTCTATTGCCAGCCTCTTTCCTATCCTCTTCTTTTCAATCCAGTGTCGTTCTTGTTATTCCAATCTGCACTTCGTTCTCAAGTTTCTTTCTTGTATTTAGGCTCTCTTTCCAGGTTACCTCTTCTCTTTCCAGTCTCTTAATCTCTTCCCAGTTTCTGTTTAGTCTCCTTCTTGACTTTATAGTCTCTGTCAACTCATTCCAGTCTCTCCTTTCTGAACAATATCGATATGTTCTTTTAAGCTACTGTTCAGTCTCTTTCTTTTATTAATGGTTCCTTTGTAGTATTCCTCTTCTCTGTCTAGGCTCTTTTTGATGTTACCAATGTCCTTTTTATGTTTCGAGTCTTTGTTAAACTTTTTTCCATTACTAGTCTCTTTCAAGATTTCCTCTACTCTGTCTAATCCCTCTCTCGCATTTATAGTCTCTTTCCAATAACTCTCACTATCCTGTCTTTTTACTTTTCTAGTATCTGTTTACTCTTTTTCTTGTTTTGTCAGTGTCCTACTTTTCTTTTCAGTTTTTGTTCTCCATTTTTCTTCTATTACTAGTATCTATTCGAGTTTCTCCATCATTGTGTTATCGCTTTCTTGCCTCTATAGTCTCTATCTAATCTCCCCTTTTTCTGTAACATTCTACTTCTGTTTTAAATCTCTCTTTACATTCTTTCTTCGGTTACCTTTCTTCTTTTTGTCTAAACAGTTTCTATTCGATCTCCTTCTTCTTTAACTAATTCTCTTTGCTGAGTATCAACTTCTCTATCCAGTTGCTGCTCAGTTTCTTTCTTTAATTATCATAGTCTTCCCATAGTGTCTTGTCTCCGCCTATACCATCCTGTTATAGAAGTATTAATCTATATCTGCCACATATTCCGACATCTTAATGTTCTACTTTGTCAGAAATACATATTCAACATTTAACTCTTGGATTTTGTTGTGCTCTTCGTCCACTTTATAGACACGTGGAAATCAGAGACCCGTTGGTTGCAAAAATAAATCGTATCAACCCGGATATCATAATTTGCACTGATCGAATGCATGTTAAAACAAGTGTAATTATAGATATTATCGCTTAGCCACGGAAAAGGCAAAGAGAATGAAAAATGGAGGACATACAACGGATACATCCATTAATTGCATTGAATGAAATATTTATGTGAATCGGCCATTTTAAACGTGTGAATAAATGGATATTTTCTAATCTAATTTATTAATTTTATTAATATTAAATCAAAAGTTATTTTTGCAACTGTAATACCTGTCATAATTATAATTAATAACGATGCCTGTTCTCGTCAAACCCAAATAATTTCAGCAATAATCCCCTGCAATAAATCCACACGCTCTGCCAGCCAATACTCTAATAGAGGTTTATCAAACTCGAAACGGCCATAGATATTAAATTATAGTCTGAACATCAGTATAATGTCACTTGGTTTTATTACCAAGCACCATTCTGAGTTATTATGCGTCCGTTTCGGAGATAAAACACATTATATAGCTTTACATAATTATTATTGAGACTCGTTCTCGTTTCGTTAATAAGTAGATATGTCTGCGACCCGAAGAGAGAGAAAAAAACTCATTAGTTGAAAACGAGTTCAGTTCTAACAACCGTTGAAAAAAAAATAATAACTCAACTTTATAGGTCGTAAACAGTACGGACAAAGTTACAAAATGTTAAGAAGCATTTTTGGTACTTTCCCCTTTTTCTCTTTTTTTTCTTTTCTCTCTTTTTTCATTCTAACACTCACTTTCCCACACGCGTTGCAGGAAAAAGCCTCCTCGCCGATTTAGAGTAATAACTCTTATTGGGAAAAGGGACTTTACCCTCCTCGCGCTTTATTCTGCGCTATTTAGCAGACCGAAAGAAATGGCCCATTGAGCACTCAACTTAGAGGCTAAGAAAGAAGTCGTGTTGGCCTGTCCAAATTGTAGGGGTACTGCAGTCGTTAACTGACTTTTATGCTCTCAACTTGCTTCCAGTTAAGAATCGTCGTCCTATATGACTCATTGAACCAACAACACCATCTCCAAAGACGTGTGTGGGTCTATTTATACTAGGGCTTTATTTGGCAGCTGGTTAAGTGGTGGGTAATAAAATTTGCGTATTTGCCAGAAGGGTTCTGTACTCACGAAATCGATTTACGAGAGTTCCTCATTAACAGATTTCTTTTAATTGAATTTACTTGGTTTAATTTTTTGTTTATATGAATTTAGTTAATTAAATTGTTTTCTATTTGTATTAATTCGGCATAATTCGATTAATTAAGATGCGAATTAGCAAAGCCATTCCTCGTCGAAGACGACTCATAAATATTAATGAACATTTTCATGCTCTCTTAATTAAAAATATTTTGACCCTTGTAAATGGATTTTTAAACACGAAAAATAAATAGGCCGGTGTGATTTATTAACACTGGGGTTATGACGAAAATTTGCCCATCCATTCTTTAGGGTCTATATTACTTAGTAAATTACTTAATCTTCTTAATAACGCGTACTTCGTTTATCGTCGAATTAGATTCCTCGCCCTGGGAGGAGATTAAAAGAAGTCGATTTTACCCTTCTGATAAAAGGAGAATATAAATTTTCGTTTAACTGGTAAAGCATAAAATAGAGTGGAAAAAAAGGGAAAGTGTCCATGATGGAATGGCATACGTCCGCTGGAATTTGCGTCAACATTGAAATTTATGCTAATATATTCGATTACAACAAAATTTAAACCGCGGCAAATGCATTAATAAATATGCATTTATTCAAATGCGAGTAAATGGCACATCGTGTATGTTGGAAATTTCATACGCTGACGCGTCACTCAAATATACACAAAATAGGAAAACTAAAATTAATATTATGCATTAAATAAATAAATAAACAAAAGAAATTAAAAAAAATTAAACTGAAACTAGAAATAACACTACCACTATCACTAGAACTAACACTAGACCGAGAACTAGAAACATTCGGATTTAGCCCCACGTCTTTCAAGACGGCTAAACCCGAATAATTCTATTTCCAGATCATGTGTTAGTTCTAGTAATAGTGCTAGTGTAAAACTAGAACTATCACTAAACCTAGAACTAGAAACATTCGCGTTTATTCGTGCATCTTCAGATTAAAATAAGATAATAAAAAATAAGATATAAAATAATATAAAAACTAAAATAAGACTCACCTTAGAAATCAATCTTGGATTAATCCAAGTAGTTTTGACATCATTATCGAGTTTATACGATGCTTTAGCAACCAATTGGTGTCCATCTAGTACAGCAATAGACGAAGGAAAAGCTTTCGACGATTCCGCTTTACCACCACTAGACGATCTATAAAATGAGAGAATAGAGGGTTGGAAAAATAAATATAATTAGTCTCGGTCCGAAGTCTTTAATAAAGCGTTATTATTATATGGAAGATTGAAAATTGTGACATTAATAATAAAGGGGCTTTTTCGGAGTAGGAAGTTTAAACTTCATATAGCTTGGAAAGCGAGCAAACACGACGACGACGTTCAGTAAACATTACGTAGAACGTTTCGCAATAGACCAAGCCGAAGAACGAACCGCTTTTACAATAAGAATAGATAAAAGTTATCAATCTAACAGAAGGAAATTAATTATCCGTTATTATTCATCCGCGCGCGTTCGGGAATAGAAAGTTCACTCACTATGTGGACGGGCAAAAGGACAAATGATTAATAAGTAAATGTCAGCTTGAAACAGAGATAACGGTAATCGAAAAGACTCTTTTATACCAACACAAAAACGATTTATATAGCCACACTTGATGAAATCAAACGAAAAATGTATTATCATAAGTCAAGTGTTAATGAATATTAATTGAAAATTTATAGATTATAAAAAAATATATTTAGAACCGTTTACTAAGTTCTAATTGTAAGTTGAATCTATTTTAGTTTAAAAAAGGCATTATCTTGAGTTGTTAGTAAATAGTAATTGAAAACGAAGATTGATACTCCATTTATTATAATTTATAGCCAACCAGGATCAAATAAGTTATCATTAATTAATTGTCACATTATCTGGACACCCTCAATTAAAGTGTCGCGTATAATTGGGGCCGGAAAGAGTGATCGGGAAGGGTCGAAGATATAAAATTAGCCCTCACGAGACTCGTTTAATTGTGTCTTTTCATAACCGAGTGATTTTACCCACGGTATATATGTAATAAATGGCCAATTACAGAACGATCACCTGGAACAATGCCGATAGTAATTACAGCGAAGCAATCATCTACTTATAGGGTCGCGGGAAAGCCGGAATAAAGAAAATCCACAACGAAGTGAGTTTTTTTTTTACTTAAGCGATAATATCCGACTTCTCACGTCGTTAGGTCGGATTAGTATGTAAATTGGAATGCAGCTTTGGTCGTGGCTGATACAGACCGGCGATAAGGAGAGACCACTTTGTGGGTAATATAAATTCAAAGGCCGTATTTATGGGGCTAAACGGTATTTTGTAACCTATACAGGGACTTGAGAATCATCTTCTCATCCCATTAAACCATGTCAGAATAATTACAATATTTTTATTTTTATGATTCAATTTTTTTGTTATTAAGATATTTTCAGGTCAACCATCTCTTTTCTAAAAGTTTTGAAACTTCTCGTGATGATCAATTTTACTACGGAAGTTACGAGGAGGTGTTTAGAATCGATTAGAATCATTTTGACAAACACCAATAACTTTTTTGAATTATTTGCCAACTTCAAAAAACATTAAAATTATTTTTTCTTACTTTTATCGTTTTGTTTAAGTGTTATCGAGGTGTTTCCGGTCGACTAAAACCATTTCGATTCATCCCAATCACTTTTCCCATTTTCTGAAAATTTTAAAATTTCTGGAGAAGATCTAATTTACATTTAATAACTTGTTTAATCGTTGACAAATACATTAGAGGTGTTTGCACTTTAAAAAGCACCAAAATTATTTTTTTTTAGTTGTATTGTTTAGCTTGAGTATTTTTGAGACGTTTCCAGTCCACACAATGTTGATTCACAGCTGGTATTCTTGAGGTACTTTTAACAACTTAGAGTCATTTTGAAACAATTGAACAATTTTGAAACTCCTACGCAACTAGTCTTAAGTATTTTAACTCTTTATAAACCTATAAACACGCTTCCTTATTAATATTTCTACTTACTTTCTACAGAAAACGTTTTAGCATCATTTTCTTTGATCTCTCTGGGTGCCTGATTATGCAAGCAATTTTGTATCCAAAGGTACATTCTTTTGCCATAGAATTTTCGTCTTTTAGATTGCAAAACTGTAATTCCTAGGAGTAACTGACCTAGATTTGTCCAAATAAGGGTCATTAGACATTAAGACTAATGTTTAAAACACAAAAGGTGAGAAGAATGTAATTGCTTTTTCGGCTCTGTTCAAACCTTAAATGGTTTTATTGTTGTCTATCAGTACTTCTGATTTTATTACTTCTTTCCCACGTTTTGTACGTACCATAACAGTCGAGGTATATCATCTCACTTTTCTGCCATGTAATCACTACTTAAATTTTCAGATACTTCTTACCAAACGAAAAGAATCTCAAAAAGTTCAGAAGATGTCTAAAAGTTGTCGGTAACATATCTTGATTTAGCAACGATTCGGCACAATGGTTTGTTCTCACCATCTTTCCTATTCTATCTTTGCTAACTTGCTATTAAGGTAATGAATTGTTGCTTTTTGTGGAGGAGTGTCTCCATAACCATTTTTCAATTACCTCATTGGTCAGAAATAACTGTAGGTATAGCCAAGAGTCAATCGTGGTCAAGTTCTACTTTCATAATATGTGGAGCACATGTAAACGAGAATGTTGGAGGTGCTGCCTAAGCAATATCACAATTCATATACCACCAAGTTGTACTATATACGAAACAAATTGCACAGGTACAGAGACACCAGAGTAGGGAGTCAGATCAATATAATGGGACAGACTATCTAATATCCATCTCCATCCACAACAATTTTACTGTAATTTGTTCTCCTGATGACATTGTTGTATTCTGACTTATTACTTCTTGTCCTCCTTAGGCCTGGCTTTCTATCATTACTCTTTCTTCCCTTTGTCTACTTCATTTCTCTCTCTTCATTACTTTTGCATAACTCTACTTTCTCTTCATGCTCTCTGCAGATTAATTCTGCCGTTTTATTTTCTGTCCATTTCGGCCTAGATAAATGTTTTTACTTGCAATTCCATATTCCTTATTTGTAGAACAATTAGAACATGTCTCTGTTTTTACCAGTCTCAAAAATAGTTTTTGTTAAAAAAGAAAAAAAACTCTTAGTTCTTATAAAAAATCTGTGTATATTTAAACGTCTTCAATCACTTCTCTATTAACTCAATTAAAAGGGCCAAGTTTTCAATTAAATCTCGTTTCCACTTCATTACCTTTAATACCTTAAGGCACACCTTAACCTTTTAAGAGTCCCCACCGAAAGCAGTTCTTCATCCAGCCCCCGGCGCAGCTGCCTCCCGTCAACCTCCCATATTGCTTACTATGCGAATTTATTCTACACCCCAGGTAGTGTTGGAGATTGTATTCATAAGCAGCGAATCGATTTACGGGGGTGGAGAAACGGGGGGTTCGTCGCGACGAGGGGTGGCAGAAGTTCCTCATCTTCCCTTCCTGGGCATGATTTATGGTGTCTTAGGGGCAGAGCTTTCGTTCCTCCGCGTTCTAACGTGACTCAAATTTAAAATTGTTTTATTGTTTTTCACATTCACCCATAATTCGATTCACGGATTCCTGTTACTGATAAATGGCAACCCTCAGCAGAATTGCACCACCCTTCAAGAAATACTTTTAAAAAACCCTCTTAAATTCTTCGCCGAATTTAAGAATGCACTTAATGGGGTTAGGGTATACAAAGATTTACTCCGTCCGAATACCCTATTAGAATGGGGTTTTACCAATGGAAGAGGGAGGTAACCCGATATACAAAGAAATTGAAAAGGGCATCATTTATCAGGGGATAAAGTCATTGGGTCTTTACTTAATTATCGCCTCGTTTTAAACTTGCATACAACGTTGAATGGAAAAAAGGAGAAAAACGATGGAAGACGACGACGTCTCGGAATACTTTCTTATCTGATATTAGAAATCTTTTTCCTTCAGCTTGATTAAGTATGCGTCGCGAGAACCAATTCGCGTACCAATTCCCGGAGACGAACGTCTCAAGATCATTCGTTACGATAAAATAAATGCATCTATTTATTAAGTGTGTAGTATAAATAAAAAAAGTTTTACATTAAACTTTTAAATTCTTCTTAATGACACTTTTATCGCTTGCTTTTATACTATAAATAATAAAGGTTAAATTGAATAATTTAATCGAATAAAAAATTCATAAACATTTCGAATATTTATAATCGTTTCAAGTTGAAAACGGTGTAGCATTATTAATATATTAAAAATTTAAGGTAATATTGAAGTTTAAATTACATGGTGCGCCATCTATTAAACGTTTATGGTAGCTCTGCGAGCTTTCGTGGTTGTTAAAACTAGAGGGCGACGCTTTTGCAGGTAGTTTTATGAACTGTGTGGGTTTAGTCAAAAGATGGCGTTGCAAGTATATAATTTAAAAAAAATCTTGAATCTTAATAATTATTATTAAATTAAGTTTTAAGAGAAATAAATCTTGAAAAATAAACTTAACTAAAAAAATTGAATGATATAAAAAGATATGTGTTAACTATAGAAGTCAGTTTAAATGTTACATATACAAAGATTAAATTTATCTGCATGTATCGCATATCGTAGCAGTTACAGGGTCCATTAATCACCGTGAGTTCCGTAGACTTGTTTTCTTTTCTCTTTCACGATGCACAATTAAAAACGTGAAATGTCCAAGTAGCGGTTCGATCTTTTTTTAACGATAAAACGACCGATTTTTTGGTTGGAAAAAAATTGAGTCTGAATATTTTTAATTGCCAGCACGACCTTTCGCGGAGGTATACCAATTATTTTTATAGCCCTACCTTCCCAGAAGAACCGTTTGGTTAACTTTACGTTCCCTCCAGAAATAGGTTAGCTGCGACATTTTTTTTTGCTGTAGCGCACAAAATCTCTTTTTTGTCGAACCCAACTTTGTATCAAAGCTTATACGCGGGAGGTTTCAAAACGTCATGGAGGCTCCCTTTGAGAGAAGCATCTCTTTGTAATTCTATCGATGGTTGAACATAGGATGATGCTACAAGCCCCGCCATGGAATTACTTCAAGCACCAACTAGATTTGAATCGACAGAAATTGTAAAAAAAAACACGAAATGAAGCTTCAATTAAACTATGAATGAATTTTAGTAGCTTTGTGCGTAATCTTTGAAAGGTTTTCGGTCCGCTACTCGTTAATCTCTATTTAGTGGGAACGAATTTAGTTGATTAAAAGATGTTGGTAAATAGAAATAATTACGAGAGGTGCCCCGAGGTATGAAAAGAAGGGCTCTGTTAAATAAATGAAGGGGGCCTTCATTAAAATGAAAGGCACGGAGACGAAGAGATTCTTTGGATAGTGATGGAACCGTATTCAGCTTAAGTTAATAACCAGATGACGCTACTTTTGATGTTTCCGAGTTTATGACTTTCAATATTTCCTTAACATTTAAAAAATTAACTCTTTAAATTAAAATAATTGTAATAAGCCTTGTTTACGTGTTGATTTAATAATTAACCTTAACACCTAGTGTCTTAATTGTCTATTGTGAGTTTAAACTAAGTTGTGACAGAAACCATTAGCATTTAATAACTTTCTTAGATTTATCTAAATATGAACTATTAAATATCAAGAATAATGATTAAAAAACAAAAGGTGGGAAGAATGGAATAAGGAGTCACATGATTTGATTGTTGTCTGTCACTACTTCTGATTTCATGACTTCTTTCCCACTTGCGTCATATCACTTTTCTGCCATGTAATCATTACTGACGTTTTCAGATTATTCTTACCAAAAGAAAAGGAACTCTGAAGTTCAGAAAATGTCTAAAATTTGTCGGCAATAACCCTAATTTAGCAACGGTTCGGCGCAATGGTTTGTTATCAACATCTTTGCTATTCTATCTTTGCTAACTTGGTATTTAGAGTAATAGATTGTTGCTATTTGTGGAGGAGTGTCTCCATAATCATTTTTCAATTACCTCATTAGCCAGAAATAGCTTTAGGTATACTAAGGAGTTAATCGTGGTCAAGCTCTACTTTCATAACATGTGTTTGATTATAAAAGAGTCTTGGAGGTGCTACCTAACCCATATCACAATTCATATAGCACCAAATGCGTACATCGTTGAGATCAGGTCCAAAATTATCTCATGAATCGATAAGATGAATAGTCAAAGTCTAAACTCTGTGACTACGCTACTAGAAGGAACACAAACCAGGACTCGGGTATGCTATAAACGAAACAAGCTGCTCAGTTACAGAGGAACCAAAGTAAGGAGTCAGATCAATATAATGGCACTTGAGTTACACTCGAGATAGACTATCTAATATAGTACTATCCTGATGACTTTGTTGCATTCTGATATATTAGTTATTGTCCTCCTTAGGCATGGCTTTCTATCATTACTCTTTTTTACCTTTGGCTACTTCATTTCTCTCTCTTCGTTACTATTGCAAACTCTCCTTTCTCTTCATGCTCTCTTCAGATTAATTCTGCTTAAGGAGTTAATCGTGGTCAAGCTCTACTTTTATAACATGTTTCATTAAAAAAGAATCTTGGAGATTCTGCCTAACCCGTATCACAATTCATATAGCACCAAGTTCGTACATCGCTGATAAATTTGCCTTCATTAAAATGAAAGGCACGGAGACGAAGAGATTCTTTGGATAGTGATGGTACCTGATTTAGCTTAATATTTAATAAATTAACTCTTTAAATTAAAATAATTGTTGTAATAAGCCAAAACACACCAATTTTCTGTTAACTTCTAAAATTTATAGCTTTGTTTACGTGTTGATTTAATAATTAACCTTAACACCTGGTGTCTTAATTGTGACACATTCTATTTTGAGTTGAAACCAAGTCGGATCTTGTGCCAGAAACCATTAGCATTTAACACTCTTAGTCGCTAAAAACTTATGAGTTCTATTTTACATCTTGTCATCGGCTTAATAACGAAAATAAATTTATTAAATCCGACCGAAAACTTTACGACCATTGGATATAACACAATGGATGATTATACTTTATACTCAGGTATCAAGAAATCTATTACTTCTCGCATCGCGGGTTTTGCATTTAAATGAAAAATATGCTAATTCCGTACCGATGCTGAAAGCGAACTATTGAAGAGCTTTGCTGCAACTCGACCTGATTAGTGTGTTAACACAGTTTACAACTAAAGTTTCATGATTCAGTTTTACTTCATTATTTATGAAAAATCAATTAAGTTCAAATTTATCATTTTTTTGTTGAATCGATTTTCTCTCTTTCGAAATGTTTCGTTTCTTGAACGTAAAATGTATGGACCATGTGGCGTCCATAAAGTTGGTCGTGTTTGGAGCATTTATCATTTTGCGGGGCGCCGAAACCGACGACGTCGAGAATACTAAAAATATTCGTTAAATTTCGAAGGTTGGTTCAGAAATTGACTCTTAAATGCTGTTGATTAAACGGTGTAAATGCAAAGTTCTCCCAACTTTACTTGAATACTAAAGCAAATTTTCTTAATATTATTATCATTATTACCGGCTTCAAAGTTTCGATGGTTGCGGTGGTCGAAGAAAAGGGGTTAATTTTAATTAAATAATCAAAAGAGGCCGGATGGTTTCATAAAACCGAGCACGAGTCGGTTTTAAAGCGAGCGCAAAGAATTCTATAAGCTCGAGCTGAGGGAAATGAAAATTTAATTAAAAAATTCTTTCCGGAGATTCTTACTTTGTAAGGTTGTTATTGTTCGGAGGCGGCATAGGGGTGGGAATCCTCGGTGGGAGAACAGGTAGGGCCCTTTTTCTACTCGGCCCCGTTCTACTGCTACTGGTCGTCTCCATTCCTGAAATTAAACAAAATATTTACATTATAAATAGCCAAGTAAAAAGCTTCCAGAAAAATGTGTATAGAAGGGAAAATGTTAATATTTACATTCATACTAGAGATCGAAATAATGCAACCGAACCGTTCTAACAAAAAGTACGGATTCGTTTTGGGAGCGTTAGCGAAAAAAACTGTTTGACCTTTCATTGAAACGGTCCGATTCAGCACAAAAAAATCAATGGTTTTATTGCCGAGGACTACAACAACAAAAAAAAATTAACCCGCACGTGTTGGATTTTAAAACGCCCACATTTTTTACAACTCGATGACTGCAATGAAATTATCGTAATCGTAAAAAATTGTTACAAATATATATTCCAAAGTTACTTGTTTATTTAAACCCGATAAAAAACCATTTTACACATTTCCACAATTCTCTAATAAATGGTTCATTATCAGATTAAAATTATTTCTAACACTTACTATATTAGAGATTATTTTAGAAAAAGTTATGATATACATAATTAAACCAAATGTTTCATTTGAGAAACGACTAACATCGGGGGAAGTACAAGAAAGTGTTGCTGAGGCTTTCTTAGCTAATTGTAAGACAAGTTCAATAAAAATTAATAATAGTCCGTTATATGATCGTCCCATAACAAAGTATAAATTATTAAATGAGTAGTAGCCGTTGGGTTAAGGCACGGTATATCTGGTAATGTCACCTTTGATAAAGAATGTTGGCATAGATCATTATCGTTACACAATGTTTGGATTGTTGGGTAAGGTTAGGAATATTTACCAAAGTCAATGATCTCTTCCAAACAATGTTGATGTCTGTTCTAGTTGTTGTGCATTGTTTGAAATGTCGCTTAAAGTTAGGAATATTTACTAAAAACAACAACCTTTAATTGATATGAACGGTTTTGGAACACCTGCTCTAATTGGACATATGGTTGGGGAATTTTGAAATATTAAATTTGAGGATCTTGTATTTTAGTCCATCTAACCATATTCTATCAAACGGGTTTCCTTATGTACAAGAGTTACCAGGATATCGACGCTGCCAAGCCAAAATGTCATAATGATATTTACTTGATTTTGCATCACGCCGTATTCAAATAGACATTTGCGCAAACTTTAAATCAGTATTGTAGTGATTGAAGTTTGTTTGCGGTTGTTGTCGCTATAACTGTTGGAAGCAGATTCTGCTCAACGGTGTAGCTAAATGAAAATGCACCATTTTGGCATTTATGTCGTTTTGGCTTGGTAGCGTTCATATGCCACAAAAAGTTATCAATTGATGTTAAAGCGGTGTCGGAGATGAAAGTAGAGATAGTAGCAGAAATTTATTCCATGAACTAGTTGGCGGCAGAAAGAACAGTGTAATGAAGTAATGACAAAAGAAATGAAACAAAATTGCTGGGTTAGAACAAAGAGCTGAGCAAAAACAGTTAATTTCATAACAAAGGTTTTGAGTGAGTACGGAATATCTAAATGGTATTTCTATAAAATTAAAAAATCAGAATACAGTTTTGGATTTGTGATCGAGTAGATAATGATCACAATCTATGATAACAGAACTAATGCATAAAGAGAGGAAGGGTGGAAAAGATTATTTCCAAAAGTACTGAAAGATATGTAAATTATTAGCGAAACACAAGATAATCTGGAATGAACGTGGAGAAGAATGAAGACAGAAAAGGAGAAGCTCTAAACAACTGAGAGGAGAAGTAACATGAGAGGAGCTTTTAACATAACTGGGGGAAGGAAGGAGGGTTAGATCAGGGGTCTCAGGTGTATAATTTTTTCTGAAAGTAGTAAATGAATATCCATCAAAAATCATATTTGATACGATAAAGTGTATTTTCGAATACTAAATAGAAATTCCCTTAAACTTGTCTAATATATCAGTGTGTTACAAAAATATTGTTACAATCACTTTTCGAGTTAATAAAACAAGTATGTATTACAAGAATGGTGCAGCTGTTTTCTGTGAACTTGAAACATGAACTAGCCGAGTACAAACAGAGAGCCGCCGAACGTTGGGAGTTCCAGAAGGAACATGTACAAATAAACGCGGAATACATTCCACGCCAGTAACGGGACTGAAACGGTTTCGGGATGCGCTGATGGACATCAAAGGCGAAGGCCGACGCTTAACAAAATTAACAATGTTCGAAAACAAATAACCACAGTTTTCATTTAATTCGTTGAAAAGAATCAAAAAAAAAGTGGAATCGGGACTTTTTTTGAAAAAAAATCAAATTAAGGGAATATTGGCGGAAATCAATACAATAACATAAAAGCGAAGTTTTTATTTACAATGAGAATCGAATTTCCATAAAACCGTAATACAGCGAAAAACTAATTTTAATTTTATGATCGTAGAATACAAAATAAACATCCCATTCAGTTGTAAACACGATACTGTAATCTGCGGTTTACGACGTTTCATAGTTATTAAAGAACTCGTTCCACAATATGATTGATATTCATTATCAGAGCAGTATTTCATTACATTTCCGACTTTATCTTTATACTTCATTGGCGTCCGTCAGTTTAAGAATGAGTTAAACGATAAGTTTAGAAAGCTATAAATAATAATATTGTGTTTTAATAATAACATAAACAAATCTAGATTTGATAATAAATTTTAACGTACTTATTCTAAATTCATAATAAACTACCTTGATATACAATTTCCGGTTAATTGTTTAACACAGGATAAAGGGAATACAAGCAAATATACCAAGTGATGTTAATATCCTATTGAAATCTCAAGGACTTATGAATAATTAAATACAAATACTTGTGAAATCTAAGCCTTTAAGGTAACGATTATATCGTGTGGTTTATTTCCTTCCAAGAAATTTAAGTTACATTCTTCATTATTCATACTATTTTACGAAGGTAGAGAGTTGTGGACGGTCGCATTTCGAAAGTACCCAAGCCACAACAACAGTCACGTCATAAATCGTTCCTTCACGATACCTATACGCCTTAGCCCCAATGGAAGCCGCTTTTACGTCCGTGTTTACGGATCGTTTCTAATACGACTGGGTACGATAAAATCTAGGCACGTCACTTACCAGGGCAAATTTTTTTGGTTGATTAGAAACACAAAAAAGAATTTTTATTATTTTCGAAAAAAAATTCAATTGTAAACACACCATTGTTTCTCTTTATTTACAATCGCCGTCACAAAAGGTAAACACATCGTTTAGTGTCTGGAAGCTCGTAGGGGTGAAGGACAAATGACCTTTGGGGCTTTAGGAACCCTTCCCACTTAGATAAAGGTCTTGTTTTAGTCACGGTTCGACCACGTGTCCGTTTATCTAACTTCACGGTGGTCTTAAAAACCATCGTAGAAATCGTCTTAGAAATCTTCTTAAAAATCGTCTTTGGAATCCGGTGGTGATGTATTCGCCGAGATTCTTTCCTCTTTTGCTGTATGGCCCGATAAGAAATAAAAGGGTAATCCACCCTTATTTTATAAGCTCAACGGTGAATTTTTGAGATTAAGGACTTAAGAACTCCTTAAGGAAACCCCCTCCTCATATTTGCTGGGCTTTTATCGGGATGTCTTTTCTCGGGAAGTGATGCGATGCCATTAGATGTAATCAAGAAGGAAAGAACGTTGTAATCGTTTACTTAACACGAGGGACAAGCACGAAAGCTTAAATTTTTTAATGCACCCCCAAAAAGTATTTTCTTTTTGTTCGAGAAATTTATCGTTCGTTTCATTTGTTGCTTACGATCATAGTTACGAGATCGATTTATGTGTGGGGTACAATAAAACGTGAAATCCTTATTCCAACCGTTTTCTTTCAATGAACGTGGTTGGGCGAAAAGACAAAGGGCTCGAGCGAAAAAGTTTATTGTCCTGTATTATATGAAAGAGGTGCTGCAATAACACGTCTGCTTTCGGAGGGGTCCGATCTGACATAATCCGGGCGTATAAAACAGGCAAATAATCCTTTGTGCGTCAGACACAAGGGGAGAACCGGTATAAATATTCAAGCAGTGGCTTGTCTTCACGATGTCAAAGACTATATACATCTAATATGAGCTTTTTCGATTAATTGGAAGTTCTAAAAGTTTTATGTTTACTTTTCTAGAAAATCCCTAAAAAGGGGTTCGAAAACCACACCAACTCAGCAGAGGAATGTGCAAATCTACTCTTGAATCGTTGGGGTACCGATTCCGGTGGATAACAAGTAGAAACACGTAGAAAACGGGTCGCGATTGAGATCGAAAATAAAGGAGGTGAAGTGCGCGGTCGAGTCCGTGGCTTCACTTGGATTTTTTGCTCGTTTCTTTTTTTCAACGTTTCTGCTGGAATTAAACGTTCTCTTATTTAAATACCCTTTCTCCTCTCGATCTTGGTGGCATGAGTCACTTCGATTTATGTGGCTCCGTAGCGCACTCTGATCGCATTAATGTGTTGGTAAATGTATTCTGCGTGGCTTCGGCTTTCGGAGACCCCTCTCATCGATTAAATTAAGGACGCGCAGCGTGGAATTTATTGCGCCTTTGTCGAAGCCAGAAGTACAAAAAGCGAATTAATCGCATCTCAACTATACCACGCTACTACCCCGAGAAGAACCTTTCTTTCCATTTTATCTTCCACGTTCTTTTTCAGGTATTATTATTTCTGATTGAGTCAACTTCGTTTTGTAAATATTTTCACCCTCTTCCGTTTTATTTGTGCCGTTCGTTTAACCTAATCACCACCCTCGCAAACACTGACAGTTCGCTAGATTATAGCGATATACTCGTAACGGTTCATTAACTCGACTCGAAAGCAGAATAGGAACCTGCACTTTGTTTTGTACGGTACGTAGATCATGGTTAACTGGGATGCGAACGAGAGACACTCGTAACAACCCCTTTTGCGATAAATTAAAGCCAGATTAATAACGACATAACATAGAGTTATATAGTATTTATTGTTGTATTGTTTGTTTACTTCTAGAAATTTTACTCATTATACCCTAATCATTATTTTGATAAGTG